GACCCCGGACAGTGCAGCCTGCGGGGGGAGAAGGGAGCAAGCCTCAGGGAGCTGCTCCCCGCAAAGCCAGGCGGCCCCGCGGGAGCCGGGCCCCAGGGTGTTCCCAGCCCGCATATGCTTCCTCCTTCCTCGAGACCAGATGCCCCGAGAGGTGGGGGCCACTGAAGGAAGGGTGTGCTCTCCCAGGCGGCCAGGCAGGAGGGAGGGTGGTGAAATAAACACTGCGTCCACATCTGTGCCTCCGAGTGTCCATGACGACGCCTGGGTCTTTCCATCCATAATGTGCGCACAGTAGGGGTGCCTGTGAGTCTCAGGGGCTTGGTGAAGGTGGAACCCCAGGAGGCCAGGTGGGAGATCTGCCACTTGGAGGAGCAGGAAGAACCAGGCCCCTGAGCCCCCCACTCCCAGCCCCTCCAGCTGGAGGGCAGAGCTGAGCGTCCTGCCCCAGTTGAATGTGCCAGGCTGCTGGGCGGTCTCCCCTGGGTCACCCTCAAGACAGCTCTGGGTACTGCGGGCATGCCCACCGTGAGAACAAGCCACAGGAGCCCCTGCCAAGAACTGGGCAGGTCCCTTAGTGGCAGCTTTTCCCCCTTCCAGTTACCTGTCCTGTGTCAGCTGCAAGGGGCCCAGCCCACCCTCAACTTCTGGCCAGTGGCAGTGCCAGCCCCTTCAAAGGAGGCACCTGGGCTGCAGGCAGGTCCCTGAGGAGGAAGCGGTGTCCCCAGCCCTGGTGTGGTAGGTGTGGCCACCATCCCCAGAGCTCACCTGCCAGGCCCAAGAAGCTCAGGCCTTGGGGCCGCGCCTGCAGGGCAGACAGGAGCTCCTCCAGGCCAGCACAGCTGATCTCGGGGTTGGCAGACAGGTCCAGTGAGACAAGTGAGGGGCAAAGAGGGAGACATCTGGGGTGAGGGAAGAAGTGAAGGGGTCAGTTTCCAGGGAGGGAGGCCCCCATCACTAGGGAAAGCTGCTCCAGACAACCCACTGCTCTGTCGGCCAAGCTAATAAGCCCAACAGGTCTTGCCCCCAGCCTGGCACAGGCACAGGTGTTCCTCCACAGCTGTCAGGGCACTGCCAGGGGCCAAGGCTGTAGTGACCAGGCTTGGGGCACATTCAGGAAGGAGCTAGCACCACCTTTGCTCCCCTTTCCTGCCTGACTAGTGCCCCCCCAAACCCAAGGCTCCTGGGCCTGGAGATCAGAACCCCCTCAGGAAGCGGGGCACGGGCAGGGTGGTGTTACCTGCTCAGGTCTCTCACTGCCTGGTCACCCAGGTGGTTTGCAGACAGGTTCAAGTGTGCCAGGGCACAGCCTTCCTAGACAGCAGAGGCCCAAGGCTGCAGTGAGCGGGTGCTTGTCCTCCCTGCCTCCCAGAGGCCCACACAGCGGAGGGCAGACAACTTCCTTCTTTCTTGGGGGTGAGGGGGCATCAGAGGGAAGCAATATCACCTCAATTTGCAGATCAGAATGACTTGAGAATCATGGGTACCCCGCCCCGCCTGGAAGTACCCCCAAGAGAGAGCACTGGGAGGCCTGACATTCCCTTGGACCTGCTTGGGGGCCAGGGGGCCACCTGGGATCCACAGCCCAGGTCAGGGAGCTTCCCCACGGCTGCTCTTCAGAACCTGCAACGCTCTCCCAGCCCCTGCCCCTGCCCAGGCTTCGGCCGGGTGGCCCAGGGTTCCCACGGCTCGGTGTTTGGCCCAACCATGTACCTTGGTCAGGTATCTGACCACGGGTTCCACCAGGCCCGGGTCAGTCTTGCTGGCCACCATGGAACTGACTTCCAAGTGCAGGAGGGTCTGGGCGGGCAGGCTCTGCAGGGTCTGGGACAGGGCGGTGGTGCCCAGGATGTTGTAGGACAGGGACAGTGTCTTCAGGTGCTTGGCATCTGAACGAGGGGCCAGAAGCGCTGTCAGCCCTACACAGCACCACCCAGCCCAGCTGCAGAGTCCTGGACCCTCTGGGGAGCTGTCACCGAGACCTGGTGCACAGGAAACCTGAGATAGGCCCTGGGCAGGATGTGTGGGTGGGGCCGGGGAACACTCCTCTACTGCCCTAACCCCAGACCCCTCCCCCACTGCTGCTCACAGCCCCACCACTGCTGCAGAAAGGCCCTCTGGGAAGTGCTGAGACTGGCTCTGCGGCCCTGCTGGGTGTACGGGGGATGATTCCGGCCCACGGAACAGCTGGTGAGAGCAGTGGGGCTGGGACTCTGCCCTGTGGTACGATCTGGCTGGGAAAGTGCCGGATGCCTCTACCACGTCTGTCTACCTCCATGCGTCCAGCAGCCAGGCTGATGCCCCAAGGCCCCTCTTGCTCAAGGCTCTCCGAGTCCCTGGACCCGCCCTACTGATGGCAACTGGAACCCTGGGGCCAGGGAGTGGACGTGTGGTCAGCTCACACTCACCTAAGAAGGCCCGGCCCAGGGCTGCCTGGTGGCTCAGGAGGAAACCAGGGCCGAAGCCACAGGCCCGGAGGTGCAGAGTGCTGAGTGCAGGGCAGGCCCGCAGGACCGAAGCCAAGGCCTGACTACAGCCATCCCCGAGGGGGTTCATGCTTAAGTCTAGCTCCTCCAAGTTCTGGGAAGACACAGGCCCCCCATTGGA